AGCAGCTGCAATGACTTTCCTAACCTAACCTCAGAAGGGATGCGCCATCCCTCTGTCATAGTATATCATGCAGACTAACCTTGAGATGGTGTGGAAGGGAACTACACAAGCTCACGGACACCAGAAGGTGGTGTCTGGGGCCACCTTGGTGGCTGAACATCACAGCCTCCATTTTATCAAGACCTTCCTCCCGCCAGCTCCATCTTTTTATTTCTAACCCATAAGACAGTAAACTGGTGGCCCACAGCCATATTCAGGATATATATTAATTATAACGTTTAAGGTCATTGGAATCAACATTTAAAAGTAAGGGGTAGGCAGGGCAGCCATCGTGGTGATGAGGCAGTGAAGGGTGGGCTAATGACAGTTGGCAGCTGGAATGACAAAGCTGTGAGGACTCTGAGAGACAGTTGGAAGGTAGCCCTGCCCAGAGGGTGAGGTGTGAGAGACAGAGGTCAGGCGCCAGGCAGAGGCAGAATTTCAGAGGCAGGAAGAAAGGGTGCCTAACAGTTCTCTGGGCAGGAATGGTCAGGGAGCACAGAGGGGACATGATCTGAGAGAGAGTTTTATCTGCCATTGCTTGGCCTGAGGCACAGCATGCCACAGGGGAACAGGGCTCCGCCTTCTGGTGGCTCTGGTCCCACACAGCACATAGACAAGCTCACAGGAAGCTCTCCCGCAGGGCTGAGCCATTGACAGAGCTGCAAGATCACCAAATGACGCCAGACGAAGGGGAGGTCAGTATGGACCCTCTCATCCTGCCAGGGAGACAGGCCCTGGGAGGTGACCAGCCACTGGGGAAGACTTGGGGCAGGTCAAAGGGGGGGCTGGGCTGGACACTGAATTTGGGGAACAAATACACAAAGCTTTCTGAATAAGTGAATTAGAAAAAGGGGGAGATGCTTGAGGAGGAAAGAGGAGACAAAGACTGCTCCCAGATCACTCAGAAAACCCGAGGCAGCACACAGGAATAGTTACTAGCACCCCTATTTGAGCCACACCGCCTGGATTTGGATGCTAGTTTCGTGGTTGGTTGTGTGCTCTTGGGCCATTATTACCCTTTCTGTGCCTTAATACCTCCATCTGTTTAATGGGTACCATTATAGCAGCTATGGTGAAAGCTACACGCATTGATAGAGTAAAACTGGGAGAACATTGCTTGGTTATGTGGCAAAGGTGCTGGTGATGTTGGCCGGGTGCAGGTGCATTGGGAGGGGAGTGTCGAGGTAAAGCAGCAGCACTGGAGTGCAGGGCAGGGCGGGGCTCTAGGAAGGAGAATGGGGTCAGGATGACAGGCGGAGCACACAGGGAGCACAAGAGCACATTAGTTGATTAGTCCTCATGCATCTCTGTGCGAGGAACTATTATCAGCTCCAGTCTACAGATGAGGAAACTGAGGCTTATAGACAGGAAGTGAAAAGGGAGAGGCTTGATTTTGAGGTTGGGCTTTGAGGTGTGTGGGAGACAACTGGACGGCCAGGTCGGCTGCCTGTGGGATGATAGTTTGGAAGAGATGTGGGAAGGAGGTGTCGGCTCAAAAATCTAAGTCCAACTCTGAGACAGTGTGCCAGGCACACACCTGGCTGATCCCCTGGGGGACTGGAGACCCCTCCACTGGGAAGAAAGGGAAGGATGAGGTCTGCTTTGGTTTTCTAAGGTGGAGAAGACTTGACTTACTGAGACAGTGATGGGGAGGCAGCAAGGGTGGGGTGGAACCTCAGAGGAGGGAGAGGACAGTTAATGGACACACAACATCTAAGAAGTCTGGAGAGGCCCATACGGGTCGGCCTCTTGGGCAGAGGAAGAGGGAAAAGGGCAGGGCGGGGGGAGGTTTGAGGCAAGAGAAGACACGTTCACATGGCTGCCCCACAACAAGAAGATGGAAGCGGACTGGCGACTGGGGAACCCCAGTTAGCGCAGCAAGGAGGGCTGGGCTTGCAGCCTGTCCCTCCACAGCAGCAGAAAAGAGCCATTTTTGACTGTTTCTGTCCACAGGACTCCACAGCTTAGGTGCAGGGGAGGAGACAACAGGAAGCTGAGTTTTGGCCCTACATGCAAGGAAGGGGCTTGGCTCCCCCCTGCATTTGGAAGGAGAGAACAGAGAGGTATGCCCAGAGAGCCCAGAGAGCCCGGGGCAGCCCTGCCCTGCACCTATCTCTGCGCAGAGCTGGAGGGGGGCAGGGCAGGCCTACCTGATCCTATTGGTAGGAGCCTGAGGAAGTGCCTGAAAGAAACTCCATCCTGGGGGACTCAAGGCCAGGCCCTGATGGCTGGCCTCATTACCTGAAGAGCAGAAAAGTGCCTGGAATGTCCCTTGGAGCAGCGGCCAAGCTTGGAGAGGGATTTGTGAGAACATCTGAGATGCTCAAGGGAGTCTCTGGAGGGGGAGAGAGCAGCTCCAGTGGCTTTTCAGGAGGAGAAGGGCCGGGGACGGTGGAGTGACTGCAGGTGCCCAGACCCCAGCTTGCCTGCGGGTGCTCTGGTCAGCACTGGTGCACACAGCCACCTGGAATGCAGCATTCACAGCCCTAGCAGCACCTCCATCGCCGGGGCTCCTCACCCACCAGATGCACTTGCCCCCATAGTGCATCATCCAATGTTCTCAACAGCCCCACCGAAGGGGTACTGTAAATGAGCAAAGAGAGGCTGGGAGAAGTTAGGTAATTTTTCTAACATCACACAGCTCACGTATGGTGGAATCCAGCCTCAATTTATCCTCACATCTTTTTGTACCACATGTTAAGGTCCACGGTTCTTTGTCATAATCTGTTCGTCTCTCCCATACATCCGCAGCTCCCTTCCCTAGCTTATCCAGCAAATGGAAACTCTGGCCAAGATCAATTCTTTGCCCACTACTGCCACCTTCAGAGGCGTGGCTGACCATGGCTGGGGAAAGACTCCTCACCATGACTGAATTCTCAGCCTTTAACCTCTCCGTGGTCCAGTGGGGCCTTGGTGCAGCCTGGCCCGCTCACTCTGCACCCCTCTGGATGACTGTTTTACACACTCTCCTTCTTCTCTGTTCTCACACCTCCTGGGAACATCCCAGGGGCCCAGCATGCTACCAGTTCATGATGGGAAAGCCTCAGCTCTGACCGTCAGAGAAGGAGACTGAGGTCTGGACAGCCACCCCCTGTCTAGTTCACAGGGATCCGCTAAATACACAAATTCCCTACAGTCTGGCAATAACCCTCTGCTGCTAATTCATATATTTAATATGCTCTTCAGGAGTGATGGTATTTTTGAATAGAGCTTTCATTCTCCCCTTCTTTCTCTCTGAATGGGCAGGGTCATGGGAAACAATGCCATCATCTTCCACGAGGAAACTAGCAGTCCCCTTTCCTGTTCTGTCTTTCTATTTGTATTGTGGTTCTTGCAAAGATGCAGAACCACATAAGGCTATGAATTCGTGTGAGCTGGCTACTTCTCATCTGGGAGGGGTGAGCTGACCGTGGGTGAAATTTGGGGCAATTCACTGGTCCAACTTCTCCTGGGACACAGGGGCCAGCAGAGCTGCCGGCTGCACCACCTTTGCACAAGGAGCACCTGGCACCAAGGGGATGAGCCATTTGAGTGAAAGCGTGATGCTGTTTGAGCAAGGTAACGCCTATAAACCTTAGTGCCCTGCCCACTCTGCTGAGGGTCACGGAGCAGGGAGGTCTAGCTAGGCTCTGGTTTCTCCCTCCCCTATGGCAGTTGTCCTATAGTTCACAGCCTCTTTGTGGACTGATAATTATTTAGAGAGCTTTAAAAAATGTTAGGAAAAAAGCTACTTAAAAGCATCAGATTTCTACTAGCATTCTAGTCCCATTACTATTTAAACGGAACTATCTAACTGGAAACAGGCATTTTCTTCTTAGGCTACAAGAAGGTGACCTTCACTAGTGGTGAATACTGTTTTTTAATGCCTCGATTTCAGAATTGACTCTGGCAGGTTACGTGTCCATACGGACACCTCGGCATGCAGAAGGCATGGCTTTTAGGCCAGTAAGACCCAAATAAGAATCTGTAAGGGTAAGACACAGTGGGAATCAAAGTTGAAGAAGTGACAGATGTCCATGAAGTCCCTTCAATGTAAGAGTTGGTCTCGATGGACTAGGTGGAAGTTGAGTTGTCACCCTCTGACAGGGGAATCAGGCTGCATATTTTGTTAGGGGTCAGCCTGTCAGATACTCCGGCTACATATTCACTTTGGAACTCTGGGAAAACCCAAGATCACAGACCCTGGGAAGATTCTACTTAGAAGCTACTGGGTCTAGAGTGCAGGAGGAGGGAGGTAGAGATTCAGGGCATGGGAAGAGCACATCCTCCATGTTTCTGAGAGCTCAGAAGCAGTGCTGGGGTCACAGCTGACTCCTCTGAAGAGTCACTGTTGAAGGTAGCTGGGAAGAAAAGGCCAGAGGAGCAGAGAGAGAGCTGTGTCTGGGACCAAGACTTCTCTCTCTCTCTGTTCAGTCTCAGGCTCAGGCCTGGGCAGCGGGCCTATGCCTGTGCCTGCCAGGACACTTTCCTCCTCTCTATTCTGGTCACCTGGGGTCTTTACACTCCCCCTGCCACCACCCTCAACACCCCGTTCATGAAAGTCCCTCTGAAGTGTTTCCCAGGTCCCCAGCTGGCCTGAAGCCTGTGGGGAGGGGGAGGGTGTGCTACCTGTCTGTTCTCTGGAAGCCCACTGCTTCCCCAAACCCTGGAGCCCTGGGAGCTGCGGGGACCTGGGAAATGAAGCAGAGGGACTGTACAGGGACAGAGATTGGCACCTCATGCTGCAGACTCTAGGCCTGGCCCTACAAAGTCTCACTCAGGCCATGCGGCCTGGAGTTTTCGTAATGATGGTACAAAGGCGAGGTCCTAAGCTGACACTGCTGCCTTTTCCTGCTGCTCCAATAAGACAGTGGCAAAGGAATGCCAGACAGAGTTGGGGGGGGGGGGGGGGAGGGAGTGGCAGACCTAGGCCACTCTGAAATGACTTTCACAGCTTTTTCTCTCTGCTCATACCTCCAACAGAAAACTCACCCTCTCCTAACTCTCTGCTTCCTGCTTAACTGAAAAAACACATACACGACCCCTGGTTTTGTTAACATCCAACTACCCCATTCAAGCCCTGGATCTCACCCTGCTTCCTATTCAAGGACATCCCTCCTGCAATTGACCTCTGTCCACCTGCATCATTCGTTTTTCTCTCTCTCTGTGGGATCATTTTTGAGCAAATAAAATCACACTGGGAAAGTGACCTTTTAAAAATCAACTCAGTTAAGACATCATTTAGGTATAAAAAGCACCCATTTTAAGTGTAATTTTAGACAAGTTTTGACAAATGTATACATCCATATAATCACCACCACCACTATCATAATATAGAACATTCCCATCACCCCCAAAAATGTTTACCATGGCTGAGTAGTATTCTCTTGTATGGATACAGCACAATTTATTCATTTGCCTATGGGCAGTTGGGTACAATTAGATTGTTTCTACTTCATAGCTATTATGAAAAAGTGCAGTGAACATTTGCATACAAGTCTTTATGTGGACACATGTTATCATTTTTCTTGAATAACTACAAGTAGAATAGCTGGGCCATATGATAATGTATGCTTTATAGAAACTCCCAAGCTGTTTTCCAAAGCAGTGGTACCATTTTACATTTCAATAGCAAGTTTATGAGAATTCCAGATGGTGCACTTGGTCTTATTAGGGTTCCCCTCTAACTTCAGCCATGCTATCTTGTGTTTTGCGTGGAAATATGTTCCCATTTGTTTTAATTTGCATTTCCCCAAATGACTAATGACATTGAACATCTTTTCATGTACTTATTGACTACTTTGATAGATCTTCTTTTGTGATGTATATGCATATCTTTTGCCTATTGTATTAGTTTTCTACGTATCACCACAAATGTGTCAGCTTAAACCAAAAAATAAAGTACATTTATCATCTCACAGTTTCCATCATGGAGGCCTGGCTCCAGTGGGTCTTCAGCTCAGTCTCACAGGATGTCAGCCTGGGCTGCAGTCTCATCCGAGGGTTGAGCCTTCTTCCAGGCACAGATGACTGTTGGCAGAATTCATTTCTCTGCAGATACAGAATTCATGGTAGTTTGCTTCCATGCCAACAGGAGAGCTTCTCTGCTGTTTCTACAGCCTTATATTAAAAGGCTTACCTGATTAGGTCAGGCCCATCTTTAGTGCCTTTCCTTTTGATTTACCACAAAGTCAACTGATTAGGAACCTTAATTATATCTGCCCAAATCCCTTCACATAATATAATGTAATCTGATCACAGAGGTGACTTCCATAATACTTCAGTCCTGCCCATAAAGGGGAGATAATTATATAAGGACATAGGTCATTGGTGATCACCTTAGAACTCTACTTACCACACCCATTTTTGTATGGAGTGATTTCTTATTGAGTTGTATGAGTATTTTATAAATTCTGGATACAAATCCTATGCAAATAAAATATATTGCAAATATTTTTTTCCCAGGCTACAACTTGCCTTTTCAATTTCTTAATGGTGTTTTTGGCAGAAGAGAATTTTTAAATTTAATGAAGCCTAATTTATCAAATTTTTCACTGGAGTTTATACTTCTTGTTCCTACATTAGGAATATTTGTCTCCTCAAGGCCTGCAATATTTTCTATGTTTTCCTCTAGAAGTTTGGTGACCTTAGCTCTCACATTTAGTTCTATGACCCATTTTAAGTCAACTTTTGTGTATGATGTGACATAAGGGCTGAGATTCAAATAATTTTCCCCCAGATGAGTATACAATTTTACTACCACTATCTATTGAAAACACTATTTCCCCCCATTGAATGACTCAGGCTCCTTAATCAATTAATCATATACAAATGGGTGTATTTTTAGACTCTTGTATTGTTTCCATGGATTTATATTTCTCTATTTATGTCTATAGTAATATATAGATTATTGTATATTTATATTAAGTCTTAAAATCAGGCAGATTATATTCTTCAGCTTTGTTATTTTCCAAGATTTTTTGCCTATTTTATGACCCGAAGGCCAAATTGCTATATTTTTCAGCTTGCCAACTTCCAAAAAAAAAAAAAAAGCCTGTAAGATTTTGGTTGCAATTGCACTGAATGTATAACTCAATTTGGGGGAAAATGCCATTTAAAGATATTGGGTCAGCTGGGCACCCATAGCTCAGTGATTAGTGTGCTGGCCACATATACCAAGACTGGTGGGTTCCAACCCAGCCAGAGCCTGCTAAAATAGAAAAAATAGCCAGGTGTTGTGGCAGGAACCTGTAGTCCCAGCTACTAGGGAAGCTGAGGCAAGAGAATCACTTGAGCCCAAGAGTTTGAGGTTGCTGTGAGCTATGATGCCATAATCATGGTATGTGTCTCCATTTATCTTCTCTCGACATTCTTTTGTAGTTTTCAGTGTACATGTTTGCATATACTTTGTTAAAATTTCCCTGAATATATGTCACATTTTTGATGCTATTACAAATGGTATTTTAAAATTTCATTTCCCAATTGCTCACTGCTAGTGTATAAAAGCATTATCAATTTTATATATTGACTTTGTATTTTGTGACTTAGCTAAATTTACTTAATAGTCTAGAGATTTTTTTAGAGATGTATTATATACAAGGAATTTCTATATACATGATTAAGTCATCAAGGTTTTGCTCCTCTTCCCTTTCCTATTTATGTGCTTTTTTGCATTGGCTGAGACCTCCAACATAATGCTAAATAAATCTAGTGAGATCAGACATCTTTACCTTGTCTCCATTACTAAGGAAAAAGTATTCAGCTTCTTACCATTACGTATCATACTTGCTGTAGATTTTGCAAGCATGCCTCTGATAAGGAGAAGGCTGAGAAAGTTCCCTTTAAATGACAAATTTACTGAAAGGTTTTCTTTCTTTCTTTCTTTTTTCTTACCATTAATGGGTATTGAATTATGTCAAATGCTTCTTTGTATATTGATAAGGTTATATGGTTTTAATTTTTAAAATATATATGGTGAATTACATTATTGATTTTTTTGAGTATTAAACCAACCTTGTATTCCTGGACCTTGTATTACAGCCTTGTATTACATTCTTTTTTTTTTCTGCTAAATAACCTATAATGCTGGTACATTTGCACCCTTGACCATGATGTATTTATGTGAGTATATGTAATATACATATTGTGTATATACACACTAAATAAATTATGTCTAAATAATACTATAGTATGCATAAATATTCTCTATATAATATATTATATAAACACACATACATATACACCAGCAGTTCTCAATTTGCATTATTCAATATGCACAAATTTCATCTACTGTGTGTTAGGTAAATAACACTAGGATTAAGTAAATAACCCAATAACATGATTCGAATTTCAGTTACCAAGGTATATCAACTGTCAGCAGTTGCATAAAGTACAAACGTCAAAACTAGCTTCTCAGTTCAGAAATTACTATATGAACAACAGACGTGAACCATGTTCAGTGAGAAATTGTTTTTTTCTGCGTGTCTCAGTGATTGCTCACTGTGTGTTCATTACTCAATTCATACACAGCGAAACGTGGCTGTGTTGCCTTGTCTCCCACTGATAGACTCATATGTCATTTTATAAATAATCAAAAGATGGAACTGGCCAACAAAAATGAAAGTGAAGCAGAGAAATGGAAAGTGAGGATGCTGAAAGTAAAATACGAGTCCAACACAAACGAGGTTATCGAGTGAATAGCTGGCCACGGGAATGTTGACACTGCTGCCATTTGACACTCTAGATTTGTAGCCAGAGGAACTTGGTGAAGGCAAACTGGGCATTAAGTCTAAGAGCTTATGACATAAAAGATGACAATGTCTCAGAGGAAGTGCTAGCACTTAACTTTCCCTCCTTTCTCATTTCCTATGCACTATGGTTTTCATTTGCTTCACTGTGAAATATGTGGTACATACATATACCAACATAACAAAGTCATGTTCAGCTCCAAGAATAATAATAAAGTGAACACCCTCCTCTCTGCAGATGTATCCACCACCCTGGTAGTTGTGTTAAATGTCCCCAATGTCACTTTATTGTTTTATTACACAGGAATTCATCCCTAAACAGTGTTATCTTTCCCTCTTGCCTTTTTTTCCTTTATACAAATAGAATCATTTTTCGTGTCTATATTGTTTTTGAGATTGTATCTATATTGATGCATAGAGCTGTCGTCCATCCATTTCCCCTGCAGTATTACATTCTTTTTTTTTTCCTGCTAAATAACCTATAATGCTGCTACATTTGCGTCCTGTTTTATGACATTACCCATGACAGGATGGATCAATTGCAGAGCAATAAAATGTGATCACAAAAGATGACCTACAGTGTGATTCCACCTATATGCTCCATAACATGCAAAACTAATCTGTGTTAATAGAGGTCAGAACAGTGGTTAGTTGCGGTAGGGGTGTAATGGGAAGGGGCACCTTCTAGGGGGTTAGAAATGCTCTAAATCTTGATCTGTGTGGCGATTACCCAAACATAATCACAATGAAGATTGTGAAGAATCACATTTACACCTTATACTTTAACGACATGTTAAAAAAATAAGTACGCGAAAATACAAAGTTTATAAAAGTATAAACAAATATAAACCATTGTTTACAAATTATTACTGGAGTTTATCAACTGATATTTACAGACACCTACAGATATTTCCAATAAATCAATACTGAGCTCTGGATTTTGCCCAGTTGCTGTGATTCCCTTAAGGATAGTGTTTCACAAAGAAGTGAAGTGATGCTGTATGTAGGGGTTTACATGATTAGCCCTTAATGTTTCCCAAAGGTATATTCTATAAATTCAACAGTATTTTTCTTTTTTTTGAGACAGAGCCTCAAGCTGTCCCCCTGGGTAGAGTGCTGTGGCATCAAAACTCACAGCAACCTCCAACTCCTGGGCTCAAGCGAGTCTCCTGCCTCAGCCTCCCAAGTAGCTGGGACCACAGGCGCCCGCCACAACATCTGGATATTTTTTGGTTGCAGCTGTCATTGTTGTTTGGCAGGCCAGGCTGGATTTGAACCCACCACCTTAGGTGTATGTGGCTGGCACCTTAGCCACTTGAGCCACAGGCACTGAGCCCTCAACAGTATTTTTCATTGAGAAAGGGAGACATACATTAACACGGGAAACAGTGGTTTGCCAGGCATGGAAGAATGGTGGCTATGTCTCAATCTTCACGTTCATGTCACCAGATCAAAATCCTTCTCAAATAGTTTTCTCAGGAGAATCTGATCTTTCATCACAGCTGTTACCTCAGTCCTAGGGTGAAAAGGATAGGACTTTCTTCTCTTCTATCTCATGAATCCCTTGGTTTAATGTCAAATTATTTTTACTGCCCAAACCCTCTACCTGTTCAAACCTTAGCTAAGAAGCATGAAAAGTAAGGAATAAAATCTGGGCTGGAATTCTGGTACAGCAACTTAGTACCAGGCCCAGTCCAAAGTAAGTACCTGAGAATGGATGACTCTCTATGTCATCATTATCATCTGTCATTATTATCATTCCTGTTCTGTCTCTGATGATGTCCCATCATTTACAAGATCTACCAGATCTGCTATTTCTCTCTACCCTCGCTGGTCCCCTTAGACTTAACCACCTTCTTGTCTGGGATTATGAACATCTGCCAAATCTAGTCAAACTCCTCATAATAGTTTATAGCTTTTTGCTCAAAGAAAACTGTAAAATGTTTAGAAGCTCAATAAAAAGCACTGAGAGATTTCAATATAAATAAGTCTATAAGGTTGCAGGGGGTGATGGCAGAAAACAGGCATAGACGGAATGAATAAATAATCTGAATGTGAGTCACCAAGAAGGCCTGACCCTGACTCCAGTGGGGACTGAAAAAGAACAAAAGCCAATTTTCTTGAGGATTATTCGGTGGTTGCTAAGTCTCAGCCAATTAATCATTTTCCTTCAGAAAAATAGGCACACACACATAAAATTTTGAGTAAACTTCAGGGAATCGATCCTTTTGGAGGCCATATGTGTACCTTAGCTGATTCCATGGATTCCCATTTAATAAATTCTTGTCTAAGGTCAGCCCTTATCTATGGAAAAAAAAGATAAAAGCAGACTGTTAGCAACTGTGAGATAAGTGGAAAACCAAGGGGATCTCTCAGCTACTGGGAGCTATGACCAACCCCCAACTACTAATCTAGCACAGAGGGATGCCATGTCTGGCACCCATTTCCACAAGGATGGCAGTGTGGGGACCCCACTGGGAGGGATCTGAAAGCTCAGAGGACCAGATCACCCCTAAGGAAGGAGAAAGCAAGGACACCATCGTGAGAAGCTGAAGTTTTTGAGAGCTGTCTGATCTCCCTAATTAACAGGAGGGTACACACCAGAGAGGAATATCTGTGATCTATGGCGCACCAGCTGACTGTTGACAGCATCTCAATGTGCACAGTGGGTGCTGGTGTCAGTAAAGGCTTAAACCTGCAGGACTGTTATTAAAAGTCACCCTTTATTGACTCCCTTATGCTTAACAGTTCTGGGCATGTCCTAAGGTGAGAAAACAGCCGACTCTCTGGGCTGATCTGTAAGGGAAAGGGACACCCTTTCTTTGTTGGATTGATGGGGCAGATGGATAGGATCATCACTGACACCGTTTCTTCTTTTTTTCCTTTTATAAATGTAAGGAGCACAAGTCACTTCCTCGTTACCACAGAAGGTTCTGATGAACAATGAAAGAGAGAGCAGATAGAATGTTTTGAAAAGTTTGTATTGCCTTACCAATAGATGAAGATAATATTAATCAGCTACTCTCATTCCTCCCTACTTCTCCCATATAAAAATGTCATAACCTGCCAGGATATTTAGGAGCAAAATAATACCTATCCACCCCTGGGGAGGCCTAGGTGAACAAGACCTCTCCCAAAACCACCCAGCACTGGGGAAAGAGGAGTGTGCACCTGTGTGGTGACCAGATGTCAGGGAAAAAGAAAGGTAACTATCATGTGTACTGTGTGGTAGAAATACAGAGCAGGGTTTACCGTAGGAAGTACTACAAGTAAAGAAGAAGCGGAGTGTCCATCATCCCTCATCCTACAAGGAGGTAGGCAAGGCTGGGAAGCCCCGGAGTGGACACATCACAGACAACAGTGTTGCCAAGAGGCCTCTCATCGGGCAACACTAAAGTTACAGGGATGGGTGGAGGCTGATGCTATGCTTCTAGACCTTTCTCAGGGTGGAGTTTCTGGGGCTGCCCAAGAATATCTGGACTAGGGAAAGAGAAGGGGAGAGAGGATGTGTGTTCTCTGAGCACCATCATCCTTCTCTGGGGTTATGACATCCCCTAAACTGTCAGACCTAGAAGAGCCATGGCCATGGATTCCTTGCTATTCTCTAAAATATTGTTTATTCCATAACTTTTCTACCACACTATCCTCAACCACAGCTCACTGTTAAGGACATTCTTCTACTTAAACATTCCATTCTGTTGCACAAAGACTCCTAGAATACCTTCCAAAAGCCTTTGTTCTGAGGATCTCAAGAGGGATGTTTTTAAGGGAGGGGCAGGGTGCTGCCTCCATCTCTGGGCCTCCACTCCAGCCTACCCCCAGGGGCATTGTTCTAAGGCCAGGTTCACCTGGACCTCTCCAAGGCTCAAACACCTTTTGTGTTCCTTCACAGCCTCCAGGCTGAAATCTAAAGTGTCATAAAAGGCATTGGTTTCTCCATCTGGATGTCAGGGTCTGTATCTATTGGCTCTGGCTCTCTGTCCAGCCTCTCTTTATCCTCACACTGGATCATGTGGTCCCATTATTCACCCTGATCCTCTGATTTGAAATGTGGCCCCTACTGTTCCTGGGCCGCTGAAATCCACCCAACTTTCTCTTCCTGCCTCATCTCCAGGAAGCCCTCCTTGACCGTAGACTGAAGCCATCTCTACTACCTCTTTCCCTCTCTTCTGATCTGGAGCACACGGGCATTGGAACCGCAATGCATAACTTTGTTGGGGTTGTTCTCCCATTGATTTCTGTGAGTCAGTCCTGAGTTCTGTCAACAAGGAGCTCCTTGAGCCAGAACTGCACAACCCTGAGCTCTGAGGAGAGGGGAATAAAGGGGAGAAAAGGGAGGCTGGGGGGGGGGGGCCTTGGTACCCTCGCATGCCCAGGCCCAGCTGAAACATTGAAGACCATGTGCAGTGGAGGAAGCACAGGGCTGGAGGTCTGGGTCGTGGGTTCTGGTTTGTCTTCCAATGACCCTTAAGTCTCCTGTTTCTACCTTTTGACTTCAGTCCCTGAAACTTGAAATGGGCAAAGGTGGGATGATCCACCCCTAAAGGTGTTTTCAAAGACTGAGTATTCTCCATGAGTGATTCTTGTCTCCCTTTGTGTGTCAGAATCACCTGAGGAATTTTTAAATTTAGTGATGTCTGTGCCCCATCATTGGGTATAGAAGATACAGTTGGCTTGGAGTGGAGCCCACACACCCGCAACTTTATCAAAGCTCCTCAGATGATTGTAATGGGCAGATGAGAACGAGCACCTGAGATCCCTAAGTTTGGCAGGAAAGGCTCACAGGCCAGGACCGTTATTTTCAGACAAAGCCATGGGCTTGTGCTGCCCCCTGGTGGTCAGATAGCTCACTTCCGACAGAGTTCCCCATCTAAGGGTCTCGAGCTGGGGCAGGGCAAATAAACAAATGAAGACAGATAAAGAGAAGGGAGGAGGAAGGGAAAGGACCTGGCTTTTCCATGACCAAAGGATTAGCAGCTATTCCCCCTTACCACTTACCTCTATGATAAATAAAGTTTATATATACTTACAACAAATGGGACTGAGTCCTGAGGGCAGTCATACTGCTTAAGCACGAAAAAGCTTCCTCTGCATTCACAGGCTGGGTGTAAGGGGAATTCAGAAAGTGAAAGGCTTGGCAGAGCTTCTGAGGCAGCAAAGCCAAGCAGGATGCTTGAGATAATGAAGTGTAAAATGCCTGGAAAAATAAATACTCCATGTTAGGTTTTTTTTTTCTTTTCCTTTAGACAAGGTCTTGCTCTGTTGCCCAGGCTGGCATGCAATGGCATGATCAGAACTCACTGCAGCCTCAAACTCCTAGGCTCAAGTGATCCACCTGCCTCAGCCTCCCGAGTAGCCGGGACTACAGGTGCATGCCACCACTCCTGGCTAATTTTCTTATTTTTTAGAGTCAGGAATCTTGCTATGTTGGCCAGGCTGGTCTTGAACTCCTGGTCTCAAGTGATCCCCCCATGTTGGTGTCCTAAAGTGCTGAGATTACAGGCATGAGCCACCACACCTGGCCAGCTTTATCATCACTAGTCACCATAAAACAGGGCAAGATGATTTCTCTGAGCCTTTGTGACTACTACTCACCATTTCCAGCCCTATTCCAAACACCAAATATGTTAACAGACAAAGTCTGTCAAGGTACATGGAATTTTAATAGATTCCAGACTCTCTCTCCAAACTCCTGCCCTTGGGATATGGAATAGAGCTTCCCAAACCTGGTTGTGTGTCTGCAAACTCTGGGGAGCTCATATTTTAAAAACATAATATAATGTGTCTTAAAGTATTCCTTATCATCACAATGCAACCTACATAATATATTGTTTATAATAAAATGTTAGAAAAGCTTCTCAGCTGATTGTAACTGGCTGAGGAGCCAGGTTAACTGAACCTCAGATCCCTAAGTGGCAGGAAAGGCTCTCAGGCCAGGACCCAGTTATTCTCTCAAAGCATGCTCTGTTTCTCCCCCAGAGATCACAATAAGAAAAGGAAATTCTGGCTCAGCGCCTATAGCTTAACCGGCTAAGGCGCCAGCCACATACACCTAAGGTGGCGGGTTCGAATC